GTTTTTGCATTTTTCTTAATTAGTCTGACATTGTTGATGTAGTCATGAATCTTGGGTATTTTCCCCTTCAAGGGACTACTTACCATGTGCAAAAAAATAAGGTCATAATTGGAATCCACTTACTGCATTGGCAATTTTCTTTGCCTATAGTTTTTTTGATTATGTTCTAAGTACAGTTATGAAACTTGATTGGTATCTTAGCAGATACTGCAGAGACACTCCATGTGTGCACAGTCATATGATTTACACAAACTTCTTACAAATTCTTTCATTTTGAAAGCAGTGATGATGAGAACTCCAACAAATTAGTTTCGGGTTACATGTATGCATATATTCTCTGCACAGTGTTGTTTTATTTAGCCATTCACTCATAAAGTGACAAAACTCAAGCCTGTCAAATATTGTTATTATGTTTTTTTGTAACTGTTTACACATGTGGTTTAGTCATCTTGGCATGAGTGTTAGCAAGCCAATCAGATTCCTTTTTTTATAGCAGTATTTCAAAATTAAATGTAGAAAAAGCAAGCAAACAAGCCAGATAAAAATACAGTCTAAAAGTAGAGTGTCATTTTGTTTCTTTTTTCATCAGTTTAGCCCTATGGAGTTATGTGATAAAAAAACCCCACAGCTCTTGCATAAAGGTTATGACAATTCTAATAAATAAGAATCTAAGAATGAAACTAAACAGTAAAGATACTTGTTTGATTAAAATACCTCTGTTTGAACAAGTAGATGGGCATTAATGGACATAAAACCCATATACATCGGTATGGAAACAAATCTGACATAGTAGTAGTCAATAGAGTGCTAATTCAATAAAGTTAAACTTTTGCAAAGCTTATGTTAGTGAAAGATCTTGTTTTGGAGCATAAGTATTAAAAAGATTATGTCGGTAAGTTTTGTAAAATTGTGTGTTTAAGTTAGCATTGCCTATGCTCCTTAGGACAGCAGACAGAAAAGAACAGTATTCATACACAGATAATGAGAAGATAAAGCTCACAATCAACATATTAATAATTGTGTAACTAGAGGAAACATCTTTTAAGGATTTTATTTCAATAGGGGTCTCTTAGAGTGGAGCAGGAAGAAAGAGTGATGGATATTGAAGAGTTATATAACTATTGAACTATGGCTGTCTCCTTCTTCCCCTCTTTTTTGTTCTACCCTCCCCTTATTTTTGTGACAAGGGGGAAAATCACACCTTATAAAATCCTGGGAGCATCTCCGATACTATTCGGTAAGAGCAAATGTTGGTCAAAAGTTGCCCACTGTTTTTGCTCACTAGAGTTTGCAATAATTTTTAATTGTGCCATAGTGGAGCAGATGTAGCATAGAATTCCATGACATTGTTATTATATGTATGTATTAACTTTCTCTTTATAAAAGTTAATACCATATTCACCTGTTTTAAATCACAGGCCTGAGTTTTATATATTTTCTTTGTACAGAATGGCACATTATATTGTGTATGTCTTGATGTTGCATAAATCATCTGTTTTGTTTGAAAATAAAATGTAATTAAAACTAAAACAGGTTCTTAACCTTGAGCCACATTTAAGTTTATCATATGTTAACTGAAAAATACTGTGAACAGATTTTTTGTAATCAATTTTTATGGTGTTTGCAAAATAGGACATGTGTCAGTACTTAAATATTTTTTTTAATTTGGAAAACAGGAGGATGCAAGATGGTTGGAGTTAGTGGCTGAAATTTGGTCCGTGACCAAAACCTGTCCATTTTTCCCATTTTTAGTTTAAAAAATCTTTCTAGTCAGAACTTTTAGAAAAAGCAGAATGCACTTTGCCTAGAAAATGTCTTGTTCAAGATCTAGACACCTGAATGAAAATGGAATGCACAGACAATTGTGTTAACTAGTTACTTCCCTTGCCCATAAGTCTCCAACAGATGTACAATTTCACAGGAGGTATAAAAGCAACTTACTAATGTTGATCTGTTTCATTTCGCAAAGATACATATTTTTGAATAGGATGTTTAAGGAACAAATGCTTAATTGAATTAATTTTCCATGTCTACAGTGGATGCAGTGTGAGACATCAATGATTCAGTTTTAAATATCATACAAAAGAGATATTGTTAAAAAGATTAAAAATATTCAGGACCTTTCTTTTAGAGGATGATACCCAATCATAATGAGTTTGAAATGGAAATGTCCCCAGGTTGATGGTCTGAAGACCTGATTCAAGACCAGTTTCTATGAAAGTCGTTGTAGAGGAGAAACAAGATCATGATAATGACGCACCATATCCTGCACAAAACTAATTTTCCTAACCTGAGCATTGTACTCCTGGTACTGATGCAAGATTATTACCAAGTATTATATATGAATCCAAAATTCCATGGTTTTTTATTTGTTCAGGGTGGCTATGTATGTATAAACAAATGTTCTGGCCAACTTATCAGGATAGATGAACGTCTTTCTTTGGGGTAGGATTTATTTAGAGATTCAACCGAGCAGGAAATTTTTAAAATGTGGCAGTTGCATGCCACTAAGTATAATTAATATTTTTGATGTCTTTATTAGGTCAGAAAAGGTGAAGATGAGGAATTCAAAATATGTAAATAAATTCTAAATTTTTCTCTATGGTCTTTTTACACACAAAAATTCCCATTTACATGACCCATGGGCCTGTTTTGAAATGGATATATCACGGAAGGGGTCATATTGTTTCATTACAGAATTGTTTTTTGTTGGCTTTGTGAATTTATGTTTTTTAGTTACTATTCAAAGCATGAAAATTGGTACCTTAAGAAATATTACAGTACTTGATACTTCAGAAAGAGGAATGAAAGCAGTAATTGTTACTTATAATGTAGATGTTGTCTTGTAGCATTTATCAATATCTTGTAAAGCACATGTTCAGCTCATCTGACCATTGGGCCAAGTCATTATAAGATTTGGCATTGCATCTGTCTTGTGTTGTTCCTTGTGCATCAATCATTCAGTTGCCATTTTCAACCTCTTCTTTGAAGAAAAAGCAGTTTAAACCAAACATGGCAGAGAGCCTGTTGACAAAATGATGTTGATTTGCCATTAGAATAGAAAAACCATTAAGCAGAAAGTATCCTCTCTTGAAGGGCTTCATGGTTTTGCAAAGTAATACAATTGGCTACCATTTGTGGTTACTTTTACTAAAGTAGCAAAAAAACTTTAAATGACTTTCTCAACATTTCACAAGATATTATTTGAAGCAGTTTGTTGTGAAAGCCTTTCAATGATGCCAATTATGTTAATTCATTTTCAAGTTGAACATTTCATGCTGATGTACCATCCAATATAGCTGTCATTATTAACAATTTTAAAAACTTTAAAGGCTGAAAGCATCATACTTCTGATTTTATGGTGATCTGACTTGCATTTGCCCATTACTTGTCAGCTAAGGGAACAACACCAAGTCAAAATAGGGGCCCCGAGTGGTCTAAAGCTCTGTTACGGATCACTGCCATCTCACCTCTGTCTTCATGGGTTTGAGTCTAGGATTTATCGAAAGTGGATATGTGAGAAAGCTTGCCAGTAGCTTCTCGTGGGTCAGTGGTTCTTTCCAGTGGTTTCCCAGTTTCTTCCTCCACCATTAATACTGGACGCCATGAATAGCCTATTGTGTGCTGAAAAATGGCGTTAAGCCTAACAACAACAACCAAGTCAAAATAAGACAGATTTTGCAACAACCCTATATTGTACGTGATATTATCATTTTATAAGCCTTGTGAAAATTTGCTAAGATAACATTGTATTTTTTAGTGGCCATTTGGTCTGCATGTTAGAACTTGGCTAAATGTGTCGAAAATTAGTCTTGTTAGCAAAAGGAGTTCTCATTTTGTATTTATTTGATATACAGTAACAATATGCTAGCTCTAACATCATTTACTCAACTCAAATGGCTTCTTGAACTGGTACCTGTGTACAAATAGAATTTCTCTTTTTTTAACCTCATTCCAATAACTCCTGATAAGTTCACCTGATTAATCTGGTCCCCTTGCAGTCTGAGCTGGTTAAGGTATGCCCTTTTGTTTTACTTTTCTGTCCCATGCAGCTGAACATTATTGAAAAAATGTGTGCCGGTTATGAGACATTTTAAGGAGGTATTGTCTTAGGGTCTCAACATTTTTTTTGTGATTAACAAACAATGCAGTAAACAAAATACCGGCTGTCAGTCTTCATGACACTTGATATAAGATGGTGCTTTTAAAATGAGGTAACTTTTGCATGGGTTTTGATATTGAGAATGTTCTTTCATATCTTTATAAGCATCTGGTATACAGTTGGGGTGGGGGTTCTTTTTAAACACGGTTTTGTCAGTGAAATAATTGGCAAGAAATACTAACATTAAACAATTACATGTTCTTAGAAAGTTTCAAGTGGCAAGAAAATGATTTTGATGGTAAATTCAACAGTGATTGGATGGTTTTGCTTGGAATCTACAGAAGGTACTGTGATAGGTGTTCAAAAGAATTTGTACTGTGATAACTACTAAGTAGCTAATGTAGAAACCAGGTTTCTATGTTTTGTATGTGTTGATATTGAATCATGCGTACTCTGATAATATTTAATAAAAAAAAAAATTGAAAAAACTTGACTTAATATTTTTATTACACAGAGATTCTTTCACGCTATATGCATCTGCGCCTAAAGGTCTTTTCACACTATGCAGTTTGCCGTAGTATGTTTATTCCATGGTAAACTTTCCATATTAATGATTATTTTATTCATTGTGTATTGTATTGGGCTACACCTGAGATTAACAGGTATAATGTTCATGTGTAACCTCATCTGTAGTGGCAAATCCAGGTAATTAATAATACATGCCCTATTTTATTTTCTGTTTGATAATTAATATTTACAATAGCTACTAGAGACTACTGAAAGGTTGTAGGGGTGGACTATGTAATTGATTACACTGGTCAAGTGAGATTATGATGTATTCCTGCAGTTTTTCATGTGTCCAAATTTGCTTTTTTAACTGCTACAGACGTGTTTAACCGATCCAGTGGCTTAGTGGTTAGAGCATCAGTCTCGGATTCGAGAGGTTGTGGGTTCGATTGATTGAGTCATACCTCGCTTGGTGCTCAGCATTAAGAGGTCGGTCTGGTGTCAGGATAATGTGACTGGGTGTGACATCATGCTACATGTCTACAGCATGATGCCCCAGTGCTAGACATCACTATAAACTGCCACAGTGCAGACATCATAGCGATATGACTAAAAAATTGTTAAAGCTATGTGAAAAGACAATTATATCACATCACATCTGATTACATGCATTTTGATACCATTTAAACAATCAATTCTGTTAACCTAATAATTATAAAGACGTTAAACTCTTTATACAGTATCTATTTTCCCTTCCCCTCAGATGCTGTACATGATTGGTTAGTATCAATAATGTGTTTGCATCTATTTTCTTCTGCCATTCTGTCTAGCTTTGGATGTATTCTGCATTTTGCTGTTTACATTTTCAGTGTACATAGTTGTATTTCAACACATTCATGGAAAGATCGGTTAAGTGGTGCTGCCAAATAAATATTAAATGTGTAAGCAGTTTCTTTAAGCATGTAATATCCTACTTGTGATCTTTCGAAACTGAGCTGCTTTCCTGATATGCAATATTTGCACTTCACACCATTTACTAGATTTTCAGTAGTATCACTGTTCAAGTAATTTAAGAGTAGAAAGCCCAAAAATAGATTTCTTATGGTAATATGGACACTTTGGGACAGTGAGAGTACACCAGTACACATTTCTGCCAACCTTAATGTTAATTACAGGTGTGCAGCATCCATTTGTATTAACCACATAACCTTTATGCCAGTTCAGTTACAAATGTACAAGGATATATTTACTGGAAATCATACATTTTTGCTGGGGAGTGTAAGGACTGGTTGGCCTGTTGTCACTATAATATGACTGGGACATGATGCAACTTGTCTGCATGATGCTCCAGTGTTAGACATCACTATACATTGCCCCACTGCAGACATCTTAACAACATGACTGAAATATTGTTAAAGCTTTTTTTTAAAAAAATCTAAATTACACAAATACCATCCTTTTGTGTTTAATTTTCTTTTTGTTTCTATCAAAAATGCATGTTTGTTATAATCTCAACCAGATAGAAATTCTGTAAATTATATTCAGTTTTAAATTTCTTACTACAAAAAATTTTCTTCCAAATTTTATATATATATATATATATATATATATATATATATATATATATATATATATATATATATGCTGACTGAAAAGAACTTGTAAGAATTCACTAGATGTCAGGTTTTTATTTCTTTTATTCTTTTAAACTGCTGAATAATAAAATCTCAGATATTTTGAAGATAAAACAACATCCAACATATCCAAATTGGCAATGCAAATATGTTCTATAATGTCATCGTTAACAATTTAGCAGTAAAAAGTCTGTCATGGCCTTAACCTGTCTCATTTTTTGCCTTTTATTATGAACCTAATATCAGACATAGAAGATCACTTGTCTCTGATACTCTTTCAGGTCTTTATAACAAACCCAATTTCAGAGACAGAAGATGACTTATCTCATCTCTGATGCTTTGTCATGGCCTTTACCATGAACCTAATATCAGACATAAATTCAAGTCAGATAATTTCAAGATATTAAGTTTGGTCAAGTCCACAGTTCATAATTTTTTTAAACAAAAACTGCCCAAAACTTTAATTAACTTGAACCATTAAAGGTATTCTTAAAATATATATCCACAAACTGGATTTGAAAGTCAGTGTTCTTCTGTTCATTAAGCTCAATGAAGATTTTAAAGATGGCTCCAAGGAGACAATTAGAAAAATTATTGAAGATATAAACCAGTACAGCAACCTGTATTCCATGGCCACCTTTCTCACTTCTCAAAGGTGGCTGCTTAAAACAGGTTTCTTTTTTTTATTACCTTAACTGTTTATATTAATGCATTATGAAAATAACTAGAACTCCTGCTGTGAGACAAGGGGATTAAAATTAGTGAATTCTTCCACAGGTTCAACAATAAATTATATATCATATATTCACTTAAGAATGAACTTAATAATTTTGAAATTTTTGAATGAATCACAGTAGAATTTTTCAAATTTAAATATATATTTTGCAATAAATTATGAATAGTAATATTACAAAGTGCTTAGATTGAGTCAAGGCATGATAAAAGAAGTTAATACACATCACGAGTGGAGTTTACACATTTTATGATAGTAATATCTTTTTTAATCATATATCTGAATTATTCATTTAAAGACGGCAAAAACTTAATAAATTTGGAATAGATATATAATTAATTTTCACAAATTACATTTATGACCAAGAAAGGTGGAATTTTAATGGAATAATAACTAGCACTAATAGAGATTGCCGACTACAATTTGTTCAGCTTGGCCTAAAACAGAAACATGTTTGAGAAATAAAGTTAGAAAATGTTAATTCAGTGGTCATAACTATTTGAAAAACGATGTGGAATGCATAAGATACAAATCTGTTCAGGTTTTGTCAGCATAACGATGTTGGTCAAATTTAGTTGAAATTTTATAATCTTTGGTCAAGTGATTCTGCAAAAAAAAAATTCAGGAAAGCAGGCAATCAGGATCATAAGTCTTCAAAATGATAATATAGAATGCTAAAAATTATATTAATTTCAAAATCTTGTCAATATAAAACAGCAGGTAAAATTTGTAGAAACCTACAATCCCTGATAAAATAATGCTGCTGAAACCAAAATTAGGAGGCCATGTCAGCAGGGCTATAATTACTCAAAATGAAAATGAGAAATGTTGGATATTAAATTTATTTCAAGACAAATTTGGTTTAAATCAAAGAATCCCTGCTAAAGTAGAAAAAAAAATTTGCTCTAGAAACTAAAAGCACATGAAATACACATATCTGGGTGTGGCAGTGATTGAGCCATAATTCTTTCATACAATGTGACCACGCTATATTATGCTCTGATATAAACCAAATTTTGATATAACATGGTTCTGATGTGGCTCCTGAAACTTCATGTACTTTTCTCATACATTTTTTTTTTTATTTCCAAAAAGATGAAAGTTTATTATATGACCAGTGTAGCTCCTGGGATTTCATATACATGCAGTTTTCCTCATACCAGAAAAAAAGGTATGAAAAATAAAAAATTTATTCAGGGATAACATTAGGTGTTGCCAATGTCACAAATTACAATTTATATTCCTTACTGGTGACAAAATATATCATCTGGCGATTTTTTTCCCCACATTATTGATTGTTTAAACTTGTATGTACGAACTTGGGTTTGGAGTGAAGAAATTCAAAGGCATAATGCAAGGAAGCTGCAAACTTTAAATAAAATGCACTGTAATTTATCTATTGTTAGGTAAACAAATTGTTCATATTGACAAACCATGTTAACACAGTGCATTATGTCATAATCCACTTATTCTGACATCTGGCCTGAGTACTTTATGTTATGATATTTTGGCACTTTATTTTTAAACATTTTTAGGAGCAGAGATAAACTGGATAAGGCTTTATCTCATTGATCTTTCAGACAAAATAGTGTCAGACTATTGGCCACTCGTAATTAATATATTTATTCTGACTGTCCTCTGTGTGTGGATGAAAAGTAAAATTTCTCTTATTTTTTCAATGAATTAAATCCTTAGGAAAAATCCCATGTTTTGTAGCAATCCCAATCAGAACAGAGCACCTGTGTATTCATCGTCTGTTGGCCTTTGATCACTCCACTACCAGAAATGTTGTGACCTGAGAAATCGAGATCAACTTGACTTGTTGATCTATCTATGCGACTTGTACTAGCTACAATCTACCAACTTTTGGATGCAGGTTAATTAAATGATACCAATGGCCAAATGATGACAAATTCCTTTTGTTTTTAAAACATACCCAGAAATAATAGGTTTGTTGAAACTTCAAAGAAAATTTTGAAGCAACAAAGCAAGTCAAAATAAAATCAGTCTCTAATCGATGCTGCCACAACAATGGATGTCTGCTTGTATCCTTCAAAGAAAGCTGACCCCAATCTTCAACAAAACCCAAACCCTTAAATAAACTTTCATCAAAAGAAATCAGTATCAAACTTAAATAAAAGCAATGGAATCTAATAGATTGCTGCATTTTCCAAAGTGATTAGAACAGGTTTATTGCACCATGAAAGTTTCATTTTTGCAGGGAAAAAATATGCTTAAGGTTGCTACCAATAACAGCATAAAACAAAAATTAAATTTCCAATCGTTGGAAACCACAGATGTATGGTCAAGTTAACTGAAGAAGTGGTATTTTACAAAGATGTTTGTTAATTTGTTTAAATTTTAATTTCTCTGGGTAGCCTTGGCAAGATAATACTAGTTCCAGCTTACCAAACTAGAGGCCAATTAAAGTATATGTACATGTAGCATGTAAACAGATAAAGCCTTGTGTTACTTGAGACAAATGTAGTGAATTAAGTGACAACTGTATATAAATCAAAACGAGGACCACCATTTTTATTAATAAACATGTAATGTTTGCGTTTTCTAATGGGATCTGAATCATACATGAAGTTTATAGCATGTGTTCTATATTCAAATTCATGGATTTATTATATACAAGTACAGGACTTAAAGGATTATAGACTTTAATACACAAATGTAAGTTATCAATATACAAGTGTTTTTCAGTCTAGTTTATCTTCATTTAACCACCAGCACATTTTTGCACCCGCTTTTATTCCCCCACCCCATCCAACATATTTTAGATAAATGCATCATTTTCTTCAGCTGACTTGGTTGGTTATAGCATGGTTCAGTCCATAATATGGTTGGGTTCTATGGATCCCAACTACCGTGCTATAACAGGGTCTCATTGTATGTTATGGAATGCTAGAAATGTCAATATAAAAGTGCATGCTAAATTTGATTGAAATTAAACAATCCTAAGTTAAATAAATAATGCTGTACAATCCAAAATTGGCAGAATGGATAACTCCTGTCAATGACCTTGTTGAACACTTAAAATCAACCTCATTTAGGGTCTTGTCAATACAAACCTACATGTCAAATTTGGCTGAAATATTAACCTCCT